TAAACTGGCTTTTAGTTCTCATCCTAGGTACTGTATAATATAGTCAGGGTAGTAGGATAAATAAAGCACTACACGGTCTTGACACCAGCAGTCAAATTCTCATTTATATGCACCAAAGCCATAAGTGTATTTAGGTCAAAAGTGGACAGTATCTTCTGCAACAGTGCAGCTGCAAAAATGCCGTTGCCTTGGGTGTGGCTGAAAAGCAGGATTACTGGTTCATGAAAAAATTGGGTCTTTCCCTGTTAATTTGGTTTTGGTCAAACTTGGATAGAAACCAACACTTTTTCAAAATTTCCTGTGAACTGGAAGCTCCTTGAACTCTGCAGATGCATGGTATAATTGACATTTGTGTTATTTTCTTGGCTCAAAAGCAGGAGCAGTGAAATTGACAGGTATGTCAATTTAAGCAAGGGGCTGCAGGGAGCAGTCAGGATTCCTGGCTCCAAGCAGACTGCCTGCAGCTTACCCCAGGACCAGAGACCCTGCAGGCTTTGAGTGCTTCCCCCAGCATATCTGAATTAGATGTGTGTAATAATAGTAGATTTTTTGGGAACCCTGTCTTGGAGTTGCCAAAAATGCATTAAACACACAATGTTTCAGTCTCAATGGACCAAACTTTTTTGATGAAACCATTTTATTGGAAAATGTCTGATTGGCAGCATGCCAGAATCCCTGGCCCAGAGCAGATAAGTCAAGCACTTCTGTGGGTGTCCCCGTCAACCCGGGGTAGATGACATGGTGGCAAAGTGAGCAAAATGCTGTTTTCTTCAACTGGCTGTTGCCCAGCAATCTTGCTGATCCCCAGCTGGAACTCACAGATGTACTCTGCACACACTGCCTTTCAGCATTGGCAGGCCAGCTGGGGTCAAGGCAGATAATGAAGGCCAGGCATGCTGCCTGATTCCAGCTACAGGCTGAAATAAGTCATATATCTGCAGTACCTGGGTCTTTTTAGCTGGTTTCAGGGGCTAGTATTCTCAGAGCTGTCATACAGATGAACCGAAGTCTCTTCCCCTCTGCTCCTCTCCCCAAAAAGTCTTCTTTCTTAGCTGGTTCTAACTACTGATAGAAATAACAGCAGGTGTGGCTTTTTGTTGCTTTCTGCCTGAATAATTAAGATCATATCTCCAGCCCCTTCTGCATGGAGAGGTGCTCCTTCAAAGAGCTGTCTACAGGGGCACACATCTGTTCACAAGAACTTGCAGCAGCATCAGGTACACAACACTTTGAAATGAGCCCATGCATGTGCAGCGGGGCTGGATCCTGAACTCCTCATTCAAGTGAATCAGCCATTTCCAGTCTGCATCTGCTTTAGTGAGAACTTCAAGATTTGGCTCAATAGTGTGGTTATCTTTTTAATTATTGGGTCTTTTTAAAATAAATTTGTCACCCCAAATTAATGCAAAAAGCTTAACCTCTATGTTGGGTGCATAACGAGGAAATTTATTAAAAGCAAAATGTGACAAAATTTATACTTTGAATTTTGTTTTCCTTTTCAACTTCTGCACCAGAAGTGAATCTTGTGCTGGCTTAAAAGGTACCTTACAAGTGTTAAGCAATACCAGAGTGGCTCATTCAGGTTCTCTCTTAATGAGATGTATTACACCTTATCTACACAAAAAAGATTTTCGTCAGTTATAGTAATCATACCAGCATAACCCCCATGGAGAGGTTCTTCTTATGGATAAGAAGGTAGTTTAGTTTAGCTTAGCTTAGGTTGCTTTGGGAAGGGGTTAAAGCAAAATGAAATGAAATGAAATTAAAGTTTATTCTGTAATAAGAGTTTTGTTTGTGTGATTGTACCTCTCCAACTGGTAAAGCTTCTTCATATGAACAGGACCTTAGTCAAGGCAGCAAGGCACTTGCAGTAGAATAGTGGCCTTTAAGTAAGAGGTATAATAAGATAATATGCATCCTAATGGAACATCCCAGGACAACTAATGGCTGTACTTACAGAAAATAAATGTGTGCTTCATTGTAGGAAAGAAAAAAGACCCTTTTTGTCTGTGCGCTCCTCCCTGCTCAGAGATAGGACATGTCACAGAAACTAAAATTAACTAAATGTGTGAAATATTTTTTGCCAACAGTAAATTCTCTGAAAAATGCAGCTGCTAGTGGATTAAAACATTTTGCAAATTTGGGGTTGAATTTGGAAAAATCTGTTCAGCCAAAAAAGAATGGGAAAAATTCAGATAATTTGAGTTTTCATTTTGATATTTTCAGTGTGAAATATTTTGAAATCATATTGTCATTTAGAAATTGAGAGAACGTTTTAAAAGAAGGGGCAATGGAAAAAAGACCTACATGGGTGTTTTGTTCCCTGTTCAGATTAAATGTTTTGGGTCAGTCTGAAAGGAAATTTTTTGGTTTTTACTTTCTCTGAAAATGGAAACATTTATGGTTTTGATCTACCTGATTTTTTTCAATTGAACACCTGGACCAACATCTCCATTGTTCACCCAGATTTACAAATCAAGAAAATCCCAGTAAGCCATGAGTTTTGGCACAGCCAAAACATAATGCTAAACACCAGCTTACAGACTGTGATGAGATCTAAAACACACTATCTGGAACAGAACAGCTAACAACAGGGCAGTTCATTGTGAATGAGCTCTGACCACCTATGTTCTATTTGATCACCTGCCATTTACGCACAACTTTACTGCAGTTACCATAAAACCAGAGGGCCACTTTCACAAAGGTAATTTGTGAATTTGGCCCTGCATTTCCAATTAGACGAGTTTTCCTGCAGACTTTCAAAGTGGGGTGGTCTGTTTGCATGCATGTTTACAGCGACATTACAGCTATGCTTCAGCTTATTGTTCCCAGCACACAGCCTCTTCCTATTAGTGTCTAGGGGCAGAAACAGAGCATCCCTTATTATTCAGCAAAAGCTGAATAATTTAGGCGATTTTCAATCCTCTCTAAAACATGCAATTTCCCCAAGGAAAAAAAACCCTGACCTTTTAGGGGGAACCTAGTTATTCACTTCAGACCTGGCCCTTTTCTGCACAGCCTTTACCCAAATATACTGTGTATCTGGAACCCAAATGAATTTGAGCCTTCCCAAGTGACCTTCCAGAAAACCCTTAAAACCAGTAAACATACTGAAACAACTTCCTTGTTAAAAATAATTTGATGATCTTTTTGCTCCCTTACTGATGCTGAGAAGGCTTGAAGGGAAGCAGGAAAGCAATAGTATGAAATGTGTTCAGGCTTACCCCTTCTCCCCTTGTCCTTTCCTGTCTCTGCACTGGGGGGTTAAAATGGGCCATGCTGTGAGTAATTTTAGACTGGAAATGGAAAGAAAGTTCCTGATTGTTATGATAGAGAGGTTCTGCAAGAGCTGTCTAGTTGGAAGAGTGGGGGTAAAACATCCTCCCTGTGCCTTTGAGATGGTATTTGAGCTGGGTATGTAACCTGGATGCTTAAGATACTGAGGCTGTCCCTTCGAGTCGTATGACTGCTTGGTCAGTCAGAGGTTGCTTTGCTGCTGCTGCTGCGGCTAGAAGCTGGAAAAGAATGTACCTGGGAGCTTAGCCCAGAGCAGTGCAGAAGGGCATGAGGTCGTCATGGTAGTGAATAAGATAGGAAGTGCGAGCGACTGTCAACAAGCCAGAGAAACCAAGGATGTACAGTGTGCTGCTAGATGCACAAAAGTTAGAACACTGAATAAATGGAGAAACAATTTTCCCTTCTCGTTTCTTTCCACTTTGGTCACATTAATGATTGCATAGAACAATATTACATACAAAACTTTCAGATGGAAATGTTATTTGCAAGTTGAAGACACCAAACGTAAATCACTTTCAGAGCCCTGTCCTTTTCCTTTTCTAATGTACAAGAATTTGGATTTGGTTTATGAATGTCTTGTGCTTTTCCCATTTCCCCATTCCACATCCAAAAGCAATAGCATTAGTCACTAACATTTAGAAGAAATCAGAATTCTCTCTTGATCGCTGGGATTCTGGCCCTCCTAAGCAGTTTTTCATCCCTTGTATATATTCTGTGAAAGAGGGTCATGATGTTGACTATTATTTTAAAAGGAAGTGACTGAATACTGATTATACAATTACACGTTCCCTTGAGTTCCCTGAACCTCAGCGTGTCTGCACAAACAGTGAGTTCAGTAAATAAATGAGCTGTGAAATGATCGCATGTGAATGATATGCACTTAATAGCTGTGCTGTATGCGGTCCTTGAGAATGTTAATATTTTGAGAGAGAGAGAGAATATCCATATATTTGAACTGCAATAGACTTTCAAATCTGCCTGGAATGAAATAACTGCAGCATAAACAGAGTGGATCTAACTTTCTGCCCTGTAGCAAGAATAATAGATACTGACGAGAATATAGGAATTGTGTGCTGTATGCAAAAAAAATGGCCTTTAATGGCACAACAGTTGATTGGCAAAGAATTGTGATATATTTTAGGTACTTAACCAAAATAAAATAAAGTGCCAACATATTTTTAAAGCATACCTCTTTTGTAGTTTATCTGCATCTCCCCATGACTTTAACAGCTTTTTTGTTGCTCCTTTGGAATTTTTAAATGAAAACCTTTTATCTGAATAGGACTTTTAATCCTAGCAGAACACATTTGTGACTGCAGGTTGACTGTTCTGATCATCAGATCACTGAAGTTTCTCATCCCTTGCCTATTCCTTCTGATTAATGATCTGAGAGAGAGAAAAAAGGTGGCAGAGCATTTGGCTGTTGCAAACTACCCTGAAAAACTGAGATGCTAGAAACCATTTCATGAATTACAATCTTTGAGCTCTTTTCTAAAGTTGGCAACAGAAAATTCCTATGAGTTTTCAAGTTATATTGTGTTGGCAACACCTGCATGTATGAGAACTGGTATAGAATATAAGGACCTGTTGACTCACTGGATAACCCCACTGCTACAAGCCTTTTGAAATTCTGCACAATTATTGAAATGAGATCTCTCAAGTTTCTCCATGGTAACACCCCTGTTGTTTCCCTTTGTTGACAGTGGAAGGGCTAAAAGTAGTAGAGATTGAGAAATGCAAGAGTGACATTAAAAAAATGAGGGAGGAAATGGCAGCAAGAAACACCAGGTAAGTTCTGCTTCAGTTACTATTGAGGAAAAGAAGAATCTGGAGAGATTTCTGGATTCAAACTCTAACAAAGTACTGCTATAAATTATAGTTACATTCGGGGGGTTTCAAATGCCAAAGCAAGGAAGCAATGTGGTGCAGTGAAGTATATCAGCTTTATTTTAAAAGCTTTTTGTCTGAGAATTTATGGCAGTTCAGCAGTTTAAAAAAAGTTCATTCCAGATGACGGGGGGGAAAAAATTCTTGCAGACAGAGATTAACATCTTGTTTTCTCTGTGTTCAGTCATCCAGTGATAGGAATTTTACACTAGCTTTATTAGGGGGGCAGGGAAGAGAGAGAGAGAAACTTTGATAATGCTTTTGTTAGAAGCTGGTGTTCTAATAAATGTCCCTGAAATTCAAATCCTGTTTTGGGAAAAGATGACAATAAATATGTTATAGCTTTTCTTATTATGACCTCAGGGTATTACAGAATGTCCATTTAAAATTTCAACCAGAAATAAGGGTTTCACTCCCAGTTCAAGAAGTCACGCTACCAGTCTGCTGCTACCGAGTTTGTCTTGCTGGAATTATAACAGCAGCAATAGGAATGAGATCTTGCGACGGTATGCTTCATCTGCTGGAACATCAGATCTTTATGTTAGTGAAATACACCACTAGGGCAAACATATCAGGAGGTGGGATATTATTTATACTGCTAGTGGAGGTAAAGAGCAATACACCTGACAGTTCAGGTTCTGAGCAAAGTGAATCATGTGTTGTCTTGAAAGCCTACCACTGTTGTTCTGTATATGGGGTTTAATTTTGTGGTCCTTAATCAGAAAAATCATCCATTGGAATCAATGGGAGATTTGCTTAAAGGGCCACAGGACTTGGCTTTAAAATACTTGGGTTTTATGTAAGTTTGGCACTATTCAGATGTAATGTACTACAATAGATCAAATAATGCATTTGTTTTATAGTAGGTCCTAAGGCCAAAATCTACTTTATCTTATTGACTTATATGTGGACTAATGCCATTAACCTAAGTGGCAACACTCCAGATTTATACAAGTGTGAGAAGAATTTGCCCCAGTGGTTCAATAATTGCTTGTTAAGGTGCATGAGGAAATGCCATTAGCATAATTAGGGCTGAATTTGGCAGCAAATTCAAAAACATGTAGGCTCAACGCTAGTTTCAGTTTGCCTATTGTGTCTGTTGTTTCCTGCCTTTGGCAGAAGGGGTATAGATGGACAAGCAGAACCAAAAATTAAGTTAATGCAACTTTGTACAAATTAAAAAACACATGGAAATTAAGAAATTCAGGTTTCATTTCTCCAGCAGCACCATGCATTCATTTGTATTGCAAAGCTTACAATTGTAGCTTTCCTAATAGGTTAGACAATAGATTTGTATAGGATGGTCTGGATAGGGTTGATCCTGTCTCTGGTGGGGGGATTGAACTAGATGACCTCTGGAGGTCCCTTCCAGCCTTACTTTTCTATGACTGTATGATTTTATGGGTTATATTTTATAACAGGTTAAGATACCCATTTAATCAGAATAACTGGAATAACAAGTCCTACTGCTTCTTATAGACCTGGCTGTGTCCCCCAGGCAGACAGTCATCAGTTTATTTTAATTGGACCCAATCTTTACATCCTTGTTGTTTCCCAAACCCAACCAGGTTGGAAATGCCCAGTCACTGTTTCTAGCTCTGAGCCTCTAATGTAATTTTTGCATGCTGTGTCTGCATGGAAGCTGCTGGTGCTGTCACTGCTGCTTGCATAGGCAGATCTAAGCTAGCTTTAGTCTAACTAACACAGGTACCAGAAGTAATAGAGACAAAGCAGGACAGGCTGCAGAGTGATCTAATCACCCAAGTAAGTGCCCAGGGACTCTGGCAGGCTTATACAGCCTGTCCATGTGGCCATATCTTCACTGCTGTTGGTACCCAAGATAACTGAATTAAAGTGAGCTTGGGTGCACTTTCCCATGATATGGTCACACCTGCTGATTGCAGCGTGGACATGTTATTTCACCTTGTCCAATCAAACCTGAGTTGGGAGTGTATGGCACCTTGCCATCTAGCTGCTCTGGTCCCTGAAAGTAGAGCAGAGCGCCCCCAAGCCTCCCCAGTCCCCACCAAGCTCTGCCTTGTTGTGAGCACAGCAGTTTGTATTTGATCTCCTCAGGGACCATGGGGCTAGGAATTTTAAAAACACAGGCTGTGCTCAGAATTTCTAAAACTCTCTCTCTGAAAGGACAGAGCCTTGTGTTTAGGAAAGCAACAAAATCTTTACACTCCCTCCCCTAACGGTATGAACATACAGACAACTTACTGCAGAGGTAGGGATGACAGGGCTTTGCATGCGTCAGCTGCTGTAAAGTAATTGCCTCTGTTCCCCTGCTTACCCTGCGGTAAGTGGGAATTAAGTCATGGTGACAAGTTCAATGAAAGAGCAATACGTTTGCTACAGTTTAACTTCCACTTACCACAAGATTAGAGAATGCAGGTGGGCAGTTACCTTGGAGCAGCTGAGGCCTGTAAAAGCCCCTCCTCCCCCAACCCTACACTTTTATTTCACAGTAACTCATTCACTTGCCCATATATTACATCTCCATTTCACTCTTCTTTTGAGTCTTGTGCTAGTCTGGGTGTCAGGTGGGTAGGTCTCTCTTGCCCTCTACCCCCAACAGTCCTTCTGACATTGGGTGATGATCAGCCATGGGGAGAGGGGAGTCTAGATTAAGCTTCTGTCCTTTCTGTTTACTGAAGGAAAGAAAAAACTCATTTGTGGTGTTCATGCATCCAAGTGAAATGTGAAATTTACTCCCTCACATATCATCCTGAAGCTAGGGGTACACTTAAGGAATGAGTTACCTTTTCTACTGCTGCTGCTGTTAGGCTAGATCAATGGAGGGGCAACCTTTTTGGCAGGTATGCCACAAATTAGTTCCATGCTCTCCTCAAATGCCTCTCCAAACCCCTTCTCCTGCCCAGTCTTCTGCTCTTTCTGCTCCCTGCCTGCTCTCTTGCTCTGCTTTCTATCTCCTGCCCTGCCTGCTGCTGTGCTGCCTGTTTTCTCCCTGGTGTTGTGTGCATGTGGCACTTATGCCACTGATGGGCCACCCCTGGGCTAGATATTTTTTGTGTAAGAGCCAAGCTAACAAGGCAGCAGCATTTTTATACAGTTGATAGCTGTACCTTGAAACAGAAAAAAAGAAAAATCTGGGGCTCAGTTCACCATGCCATGATACCCATTTTATACTGCTGGACTTGTATTGAAATCAGTGTCTGAAAGAGACTAAAAGGTGCCTGAGTTTTAAAAACAAAATTTGCTTTTAATTTACTACTGATTGTTTGTGGTGGGTCATGCTGCCCTTTAACCAAAGGTCAGACAGATCAGGTGTGCGAGGCCTTGTTCCCAGGAAAGGAAGGCAGCAGCTGAAATATCCAAGTCTTATATCAGTCATAGTTGTATTTAAGCTCAAATCCATCTGTTTCAAAAGCCCAGACCACTAGCCAGCACACTTCAGTATTATTGCCATTTTACAGATGTGGAAACTGAGAAGTAGAGAAAATGTGTCAGGCTCATGTAGGAAACCTTGAATAGGCTCATATCTCATCATTCCTCAGCCTTCTCTTAAACCAAAGGATCATCCTTCCTGCCATCTCAGATTGAATAATACTCACTTCACTGAGGTAGAGAAGCACCAACGTATTCAGTTTTGTTTTTAATGTCAATTCGAGGCAGAGGTCCTAACCTACTAACATAGAAAAACTTGCAAAACCTACACCCACACTAGTCTTCATAAAAGGCTCTTGCAAAAGCAGCTGGACCTGAACTATGCAGTATGTAATCCAAGATCACCATAAATCACCTTTCTTAAAGCAAGGAAAGGATGCTCCCTATTCAGCACTGCCCTTCAGAAGGATCCCCCTGGAAGATGCTGAGTAATTACAAGTAGCTACTGGTTCCCCTGGCAACCATGGCTCAGCTTGAACAATGACATAAATAAGAGTTGATTCACTAAGGGAGGAGTTTCCTCCTTGAATTGCTAAGCAAACCAAGCCTCCTCAAGGAGGATTGAGAGAGGTCCAGGAGCAACTGAGCATTTGTGGTTTGCCCATCCTCGTGTTCTTCCTAAGTCAGTATTTCATTCCCAACAGTACTTGTTAAAATGAAATGACATTGGCACATTGAGTCACATTACACATGGTGTGATATGAATAACGTGATCAGTATCCATGGCTATAAAGTGCCTGGCCCTGAGTGCCATCCCATACAGTGTAAAGTATGGTTTTGCAGAAAAGAGCAAACGTCCCATCCTATCACCCACATATTAAGGGCCAGACTGTTAACACGGACCTCTGTTTTTGCAGCTGCAGCTGAACAAGTCTACTTCTTTGGGCATGCAGTCTAGGTGCCTTACCCAGGTCAGGGTTGGATTTATGTCCAGGTTCCTGTGCACTTGTTGGTATAACATCACAAAGGCTGATGAATTTTGCTCTAGCTGCCTGCAGGCTCCCAGGTTTTAGTATTGTTCAGATGCAAAGATGCCTTGGCCACCCCTCCTTTTCCCCCACATCTCTGAGCGCTGAAGCTTGGAGGAGCATAGCATAGAAGCCAGGAATGTGACCCTTCACTGCCTGAGAGTTCATCCTTCACTAGGCAGGAAAAGGTGCCTGGTTAAAATGGGTGAATAGGATTGTGGGGGGAAACATGAAACAAGCACATCAAAGCGGTGAATGTAGCTCAGTGATTCCTGTTTCAACACATGAAGGAGCAGGCTTTGATAATGAGAAAGACCAACAGTTCTTGGGGTGAAGAGGCATAGTCTCAGGAGATCTGGGTTCTGTACTCACCTCAGCCACAGATTTCCTGTGTGACCTTGGGCAAATCACTTAGTTTTTCTGGCTGCCATCTGTAAAAATGGGTAATAGCGCCTTTCATCCACCCTTTGTCAGGCACGTCTCTTTAGATTGCCAGCTTTTTGCAGCAAGGACTGTGACTCAAAGTTTGTGCAAAGCCTGGCACCATGGGCTCCAAATTTCAATTAGGACATCTAGGAGCTAATACAAATAATCATGATAGTACTTTTCACACCACAGTCAGCTCCAAAGTGGAAACTGGTTTGCACAGGAGGCAGAAGACAGCAACAGAAAGGAAAGCAAATACCAAAATTAAGAGGAAACACTAAGGGGATTTTGGTTTACTCACACTGGAAAAGAAAAGAGTTTGAAGTGATGCACTAGGAATTGTGAAAATTCTGAAGTAAGGATCATAGAAGTAGGGTCGGAAGGGACCTTGTAGATCTTCAAGACCGACCCCCTGCCAGGGCAGGAGAAAAACTGGGCTAAAATGATTCCAGCCAGGTAGGCATCAAGCTGATGATAGGAGCTGCATCTACAAATGTGCTTAACTGCAGAGTACACTAATTGGCCGTGGAGTAAAGCTTCAGTGTCTACACATGCAACAGTATTAGGCCACAGTAAACTAATTAATACTGCAGTAAGATAGTACTGTCCCAGGGTAACTTACTGTGATTAAACACATGTGTAGACACTGACTGCAGGCATAATTGCACTCGGTCGGCCCAACCAACTAGGGGTTAGACTCCTGCCTGTTGCCTAGCTGCACAGCTCCACACTTTCAGCACTGTCATGCCCCACCCAAGCAGCTTCTCTGCCACCCGGAGCCTGGGGATGAGCAGCCCTGTCATAAACTGCTCTGCCCCTCCTTATATTGCTGCTATCCCAGGTGCATGTGCAGACTCTGTGCCCGCGAGTAGTTTACTTCGGCTCAAACTGCTCCAGTGTTTATTGCTTCAAATTAATTGCATGTGTAGATGCACCCAGGATATCTTGTTTTAGTTCTTGGTAAAAATTAGAGGAAATAATCTAAACAGGAGGAAGAATAAATGCTAAAATCAAGTAGAACAGCTTTCCATAGATAGTAATAAACCTATGTAACTGCCTGCATGGGAAGAAACGTGGATGAATGAGTTTCAGAGATGCCTACATTTGTTTCTGGTAAGCTGACTTGCTTTTGAATGCAACCCTAGACTGATTTATTTTTTTTTAAATGATCAGAGAAAATAAGGTTGTTAGGATAAATTGGGAATCAGTTGGCTTCAAGGTGATATTTACCTAGCAATTTATGGTACTTTAGAGAATGACAAGGTAGATTTGCACTGTGTAGACTAACTAAATCAGATGATGGACACACAGGCAGACAGACAGACAATATATATGTGCTATACCTATATATAGCATAAGGTTTTGTAGGCCTGAGTTCAGTTCATCAGATGCTGTAAAAGGACATGCACAGAGCAGTGTATCAAATAGAATTATTTGAATACAAGAGAGAGAAGGGAGGGGGAGCAGTGCTGGGAGAGGCAAACAATGCCAGGCTATTTTCCCAATTCTGATAACTGAATTTTTTATTTCCAGGATCAACTGTCGATGTAAGTACAGCTTTTTGGATGAAAATAAAAAGCTGACACCCCGACGGGATGTACCATCCTACCCAAAGGTACCATAAGCTGCATATCCTTGTCAGGCTATTAATATATGCAAGATGCCTTCTTACCAGGAGCTAGAATACAGTTCATGAGTTCCCATCACTCTAAATCTCAGTTGCTTTAGATCAAGACCCTGATCCAAAGCCGTCATCTGGAAGCCAATGGAAAAACTCCCATTGATTTAGAGAGTTTGGGATCAGACCTTCATTAGGCCCTAATACTTTTTAGTGTCAAAGATGTTAATGAATGCTTTGTATTCATCAGACAGGTGGTGTTCTTTTGGTTAATAATATTTATTTATCCTGCATACTCGCAACAAAATGTATTGTGGTCTGTAACTTCCATGTCCTTATTTATGAGGGCTTTTCTACTTTGTCCTAAATTCATGGGTGATTTTATTTCTTTTTTTAAAATATCGCTAAAACATTAACATTTGAAGCTCTCTAGGGTGACTCATATGATTATGAAAATGAGTTTGTTTTTTCTCAATTAAATGCACAAATAGTTTACACCCATAGTTATATAAGAAGATCCACTAGGAAGTTAAAAATAAATTTTTCACAGTTGTGAATGGGAATGAAATTACAAATAACCACCACCCGAACACAGTAGTATCAATAAGAAGGGTCATACCAATGTGTGGGATTCTTTTCCCCATATGCCTAGGAAACTGAC